ATGTCATTTGGAACTGGACTTGGTGAAGCAGGTAACCATATCTAAACAACTGCACAGTATATAAAGTGAAGAGCGCCTGAGTTTAGAATAAGTAAACAAAATCTGAATCTCAATTCTGCCTCTTATTACTTGTGTTTCTCTAGGATCACCCATCTAGGGCTTCAGCTCCCGCACTGTGTACAGATGAGCACACCATTCAAGTCATGGCAAAGGGCCAATGATAAAACACACAGAAGGCAGCATGCATAAGGGACCTGCACAGGGAGCTTCCTTCATTCAGTTCCTTTGCCTTTAACAATTTCTTTAATTTCACTGATTTACTTACTTGGTACTGAGGTAGAAACCAGGGCCTCACGCCTGCCAATAAATGTTCTACTTCTGAGCTAAATCAACAACCCCAATATTTTAAATTTATTGTTAACAAGAAGGACACGATTAGGCTTCATTTTAGATCTGATTATGTTGTATTATAGATGTGACACTATCATGTAATATGTTTGGGGTTTGTTTGTAATATTCTGGATTTGGTCCCCTTTCTCTTACTACCAGCCTCTCACTTCCGCATGGCAAATCCTTACTCCTCTTTCAATGTCAAGCCGAAGCCTCACCTTCTCAGTGGAGTACATTAGAATTAACTCCAAAATCATCTGTGCTTTCATAGTGCCCCCTACATGACTTCATTAGAATACAGTGATTATTATTAATCCTCCATTTCAATGTCAAGCAGATTGCCCTAGCATTGAATTTGCTTCAGGTCTAGGATAATCTTTCAACATAAAGAAAATTGTAACAAATACCTTTAAAAATCTAATGCTGGACAAACCTTTTCATGTTGTACTAGAGGAAGCAATAGCACTGAAAAATAGTGTACCGCAGTAAATAAAACACATTTTCAATGGACTCATTATTTATTGGTCAAAAGTTAATTCTTTTATAAAAAACATAAATGTTAAAGGACATAACAAATTTTTATAGTTATATATGTCTGATTGATGCCTTTGTTCCACAGAAATATATTGACTGTTTTATTGACCATTAGTATAAATCTAATTTGAGAGAAAAAATTAAATGTTTATTGACAAAAAAATTGATCAATTGTGGATCATATTAATTGTTGTTTATAAAGCATAGCACTGCCTACAACAGCCTCCACATGTCCTTTAATTAGCATTTCATAAATATAAGGAAATAAGATTTTAGTTTAATTTACCTTAATAACCAAATCAAACTTCTGATAGAAGTCTCTGTTTACTGGCTCCAGAAGAGTGAGTTCTGCAGTCCTGGGGTGCATGTGGAAGAAGCGGGGGTGATCCTCAGGAGTCCCTGCAAGACAGGAGGCTCAGCTCATAATTGAGAACAGAAAGTAACGGGTGCATCTGATTCATCTATTTCCCTTCATTAACTGAGCAACAGAATTACAATTTCATTAGTAAATTAGGTTTCAGAACTATGTAGTCTAGGGATAGAAGACACAAATGTGGAATATAATTAATTAGTTTATGAATTAGAGAGGGGAAGATATTTGTTGGGACGATTTTCTGAATTTTTTTATTAAGAGCTCTTTAATTAACTTGGAGCCTCATCATATGAAAAGAGACATTAAGAAGGAAAAAAAGCAAATTTTGGATAAAGTTGTGTTTTAGTGGTATATAAATCTTAATTATAGTCTGTATGGTTTTTCAATGCATCTTACAATAAATAAAGACTAGCAATTTATACCAAATATCTAGATGCCTAGAAACTAATATAAATATGTTCTATTCCTTCTGGGAAGATCTTTTAAAGGTAAGTGTTCAGCTAATTATGCCAACCACTGAAAATTAAAACGGATTTTTAGGGTGGGTATTTTTTCAATGTAGGCACTGTAGTATGTTGAAATACATTTACTCTTGAAAAACTCCTGACTGGAACTGTAATATCTTTACCTACATACTTTCGAATTCGTGTTTCCAAAGTGAAGAGAAAGTGAGATCAGAGAAGTCAAATATAGAGGTCAAATCAAATCACAGCAACGATTAAGTACATCAGCAGCCATCAGCAGCCCTGTAAGTAATTTATACTTGTAGACAAGACTTGGAAGTTTGAAAGATTAAATATCCCCACTATAGAGAGGTTTATAAATTGAATAGGAAAAAGTGGACAGTGACATGTTAGAAATGGCAGGGAGAGAGGAGAGCGTATATAGTGAGTTTATGGAAGGAGAAGGCCGTGCTGACTTGTCCCTCTGGACTCAAGCACAGAATACAAATTCAACTACATTAAGATTTCATGTCTCATTCGTTAGACTGGCAAAAGTGTTGTTTTGACATTGAGCTACACTGGTGACGATGCAAGAAAGTAGGCACTTTTGAGTGGGTGTCACATTGTTAATAAAGAGTGTCACAAAACCTGCAAAGAAGGAATCGTCCTAATCTACCCAAACAAGTCACTTTTACCTTCTCTGTGGCAGCACTCAGGATGGATCCTAGGGCCTCACCCAGGACCAGTGCTGTGCCACTGAGCTGTATCCTCAGGCTGATGACTCAGAAATCCCACTGCTAAACAGCCAAACAGTCATCACTGATTTTTAAAAAAATCTAAAATCTGTATTGATGGTGGTCTGGCTGAATAAATGGTGATAGATCTTTAATTGATGCATATACATATATGTATTTATTTGCCAATATAGTTGTCTTCAGCTATGTTAAGTAAAAATGAACTTCAAACATTGGCCTATTAAAAAGGAATACAGAATATATTTAAAAAGATAAATCACAACATTAAAATTGGTGATATAAGCAATAGTAATAAATGTCATGGGTGACATGCAAGTCAGATTTGATCAACAGCTACTGTTGTATTGGACATATCTATAATAAAACAAATAAAATTTAAATAAATCTCAAAACAGTTGGTCTGAATACAATGTGACTTCTAACCTTAATGCATACAACTGAGACATAATTAAACTATGCACAGTAGTCCTTGCTGATGGTCATAATTACATAATTAATTATGTTATACTGTAATTCTATCATTTCCAGAACTGAAAACTGATGGGAATAACAAAGAGATCTAAACATAATGTTAAAGGTGAAATGTTAGCCCTGATAGCTGTGGTTTGTCCCTACGAAGCTGCAATGTTTCCTAGTTCATAGCTCAGAACACTAAAGCAGTGGCCATCTTGGAAGCTCTGACCATCCCTGGAATTCAGATAGGGGTTTGGGAATCCTATTTGCATCAAAAGTAATTACAGTTTCTGAAAGAGATTTTTGATTCTAGGTCCATGGTAGAAATTCAAGTGTGAAACATCTGTTCATCACAGGTGGTTAGCAAGAGTTTTAAGAATATTAAACTGGTGATCAAACTTTTCAAGGTCCAGTAAGAAAGGTTTGTCTCTTGCTAAAATCAGACACTCTGAGTAGCAATAAGAATATTTGTTCTGGGGCTGGAGAGATGGCTCAGTGGTTAAAAACACTGACTGCTCTTGCAGAAGACCCGAGTTTGAATCTCAGCACACACATGGCAGCTAACAACTGTCCATGACTCTAGTTCCAGGGAATCCCATGACCTTTTCTGTCCTCCATGGGCAGTGCATGACATCAGTGCACTTACAGGCATGCAGGCAATACATGGATACACATAAAATAAAAATATATATCATAATAAATAAAAATTTTAAAAGGAATATATGTTCTAACTTGAAACAGACTAAATGTGCTTAAAAGTTATCTTCATAATGGTGACAAAGCAACTGTGCTCTATTGCTCCTATTTGGAAGAGGAGCAGCAACATTTTGGAAAATGAGATATTAGAAAACATATCAGCATTTTCTGAGATGGCCTATCATACTGGGAAAAAAATCTGATGGCAGACATCTCTATGAAATTATTCAAATAGGTAATGAAAACAAGAATAAGAATTATTGTCACTATCTTATTACCCTCACAGACCACTGCACGACAGCACTGAGCTTTAACCAGTGCTGATGTTACAAACATGACATCCAGGTTTATCTTGACCTCTGTGGAAAAATGAAACCCATTTGTACCAGGCTGCCCCAAACCCATGTATTGTAGCCCTTTCCCCAGTATGACTTTATATAAAGATAAGGCCTTTTGATGGTAAGGTTAAAGATCAGGGGTCCTTATGAGGAGTGGAAGCCACATTAGATGGTGTACATGGTCTCCGTCGCCCTCTCTGTGTCTTTCTCTCTTCCACATGCACTCTCTGCCTATTGCAAGTGCACACAGGAAAAGCCAGATGAAAACATCCCATCACTGTGGCATTTATAAGGCAGGGTGAGAATTTCCTTAGAAAGCAATGGGAGGAAAAGTGTGATTTTAGTCTTTAAAATCACAAGAGAACACTTTCTAACACACCATGTATGTGTAGACTTTTGTATTCTGTAATGGCAACTCAGATGAGACTAGAACTCTGGCTATGAAAAGACAAAGAAACTATCATGTGTTCACAGGAAATGGAAAGAACAGCAAAGTGAAACCCCCTGAAGGTTAGGACATTGTGACCTGCAGGGAATCCCATCAGATATGCAGCTTCTATCTTCCAATAAATGTACCGTGGTGAGAAACAACAGAAAACAGATCAGCAGAGATTTAAAGTGATTTAAGAGAATTTTCCATCACAATGTGTGAACGTTATATGAGGTCTCTCTTCCCTGCCTGTTACATAGGGGAAAAAGCCAAACCAAACCAAACCAAACCAAAACCCTGTAAAATAGAATTATATTTGAGAGAAATTTGCAATAAAACTGGAGTAGTGATTTGATATTAATGATGATGATGTAGAAGCATATTAAGCTGAGTTACTTTATAGATAATAGTATGTAGTAGATATTTGGGGATTAAAGTGTTTTGTCTGAGTTTTTCTTCAAAATAATATGATAGAGGAAGCGGATGAGAATATGCTGTGTTCATAATTCTTTAAGCAATAGTAAGTAGACATCTATTTTAGTCTCTCATATTTTCACATATTTCTAATGAAGGTTGTTTTAATGCAGAGTAATTCAGAGTTGGCCCTATTTTCACCAGCTCTCTCTTTGGATTAAGGTGTAGTGAAGTGTGCTGGAGGGTGAGTCAAGAATACAACCGAGTTGAGGAGTAGCAGCTTATCTGGGAAACGGGGATTAGTTCCCAGGAACCAACACTGAACTCTGAGCTTACTGTAGAGAAACATGAACTTTTTATATAAATTTTCTACAACTAAGTACCAATCGTGCTGTGGAGAAGGTGTTAGTATTGGAACTATGAAGAAAGGGATACTCAACGCGTTTATGTGACAAAATGTCCTGAACTTTCATATCTGATAATGACTGACTAGTTAGAGTATCCACTCCCAGACTCCAGATTCTTTTCCATCACACCAAATAGTATCATCTAGTGAGTTATGCTTTGCCAAAATTTAAATACCAAATTGAAAGTGATCATCTCCTTTACCAACAAAATTATAAACAGTATTAAAGTGAACTTCAGACCGTAATTCTATTGTGGTTATTAGAACAAATGTTTGCTAAAACCTTTATTGTTATGTATAATAATAAAATCCTTAAATTCTACTTTCACTGTTCTATGAAGAAAATGACAGCCTAAATAATACTCAATAAACAACAGTGTCCACAACATGTCTTTGTGAGATTGAGCTATAATCACTATATAGTGATCATCATATATTTAAAAAAGAATGATCTCATCTTGAACCAGGTATCACTAGCACAGAGAACTGCCCCTGCCCATCAGTGCCACAAATCTCCTCTTGATTGTTCTTTTCATGCTCAGCAATTCCAGCCCAGTGCACCCACTGATCACTTTTTGTCGGTGTTATTTTTCTGGCATCATCTGTAGTTACCGTAATGACCTTGTGGTCCACATTCTTTTGTGTATCAACAGGTCATTTCTTTTATTGTCCAGGAATTCTTCTGTTGTACAGATGCACTGCAATTTGTTTATCTGTATTGCTTGTGAGTGTTTGGGGAGCATTGCCACAGAGTAAGCATCTATGCCATTCTTTTATACTCTTCTGTATGGGCATGGGCTTTCCTTTGTCTTGGAAAAATGCCCAGAAGTGACAACTCCTAGAGGTATTATGTCTAAATGTTTTATTATCTCTTTAGGGCAACACAGTTGTAAAAACCTTCATTCATATGTTTGCTGTGTAATTATGGCCAAGATCAAAGTGCTCTCCAAGAAGTTCTCATCTGAAGCATCCACTGATTTGCTCACTATCACTAAATTCAAACTTCCTTAGAACCCATGTAGATGGAATGTCCCAGTGTGTAAATTTGCACAACAATTTCTTCAACTCAGGAGGAAGCATTAGAGATTCAT